TTATTGGCTACAGTTGCACTGTGGGTGGTTTGGAGAGAGGCTAACTGAAGGTAGACTCCCAGGATGAGCTGATGAGTAGAGACCCAGGACAACAACGCCCTAGGCTTCTGAAGCTGAGGGAGTGTCCATTCATCCCCACAGACCCTCTCATTCTTTCGAACTCCTTCTTCCCCTCTTTGTCCTGTGATCCTCCCTTCAGACCAAAATAAACCAGCACCAAAAACTACCACCTGAAAGAGAATGTAGAGTCTCAAAAAGAGAAAGAGAGGTTATGGATTGTTATATGGAGTATGGATTGTTATATGGAGCAGCAGGATGTACCAGGAAGGAGATTATTCTGACCAGGGTTCTAGGAACATGGCCAGTCTCCAGCAGGGAAATGAAAGATTTCTCTCTTTTTAGCTTTTAGATGTGATCATGTCTGCCCATCCCTCCCATTCCAGCTCAGCCTCTAGTGTGAGGAGTGAAGACATTTAGCCATTCTGGGGAAAGCCAGGACCCTTTTCATTAACTTCCATCCAGTTATGTCCCCAGAACCAAAGCAACTTCATTTTCTCTCTCTGCTTCCTTGAATTGTGACCCTTTCCAAATAACTGTCCTCAGTAGGACATAATGGAGGCAGACTTGGGGTGTAGCACTGAAGAGGGTTTTACATGCTTCTCTCTTTTTACTCACACCTCAGTTTCCTTGAATTCCTGAGCATATCTGTCCCGACTTGAAAACCGAAGTCAGCAGCAAGTTGTATCTGTGTTAATGTTGAATGAGATAAAGATATCACTGGTAGAGAATTAGCAAACACCGGGGGGATCAGGGGTCCCAGCTGTACCTGTTGGTAGCATTAACTGGTAATTTAATTTTGCAAGAGTCATTTAAGAGCTCTTCTGCAAATTAAAGTTTGCAAAACTTGCTTGGCGGCAGAACATTGATAGATCACATTGATTCCTCATCCACCCTAAGCACCTGCAACTGTCTCTTTCAGGCCTTGATTCTCTGCGACTGGAACTCCTGGGAACCTTGGGTCAGGAGAGTCCTCCTGCTTGGGTGATCTGTAACTTTGAACCACATGAGGACGTTCTCATCGTAGTGTTCACTTCCAAACCCCATGCTTCCTTCTGAGGGTTAGCACCTACTCTTTCCCAGTACAGAACGCGAGGACTTTTTGAAAATCATCAGCTTTGCAAGGATTCACAAGGCGAATGCTGTGTTTTGCTCACCATTGTGTCCACGTGGCTACCCCATGATGTGTGTCTAGGAACCAGGCAGGAGGGGAGATGTGACCTGATTGTGAGGAGAGACAGGACCTTCGCACAATGTTCCTTTGGGGTTCATTTATAAGGGATGCTGCAAGGCTCACCTTGGATTATTTCCAGGTCATATCACAACTTCAATGTGCACTGGCTCGTGAGTGAAGTATTAGAATCTCCTATTTAAAAACTCAGGGGTTTTAGATGTTAATGGTTTAAAATCACCTCTGCGCATTTGCTTTCCCCCATCATAAGATGCACTAACAACTCGAGGCTGCATTGAGCCCCATTAACGTGTGTTTTATAGTTTCATCCAAAGTGAAAGGCACAAAACCCTACCTCTTGCTTGCTTGTAGGCTATTCATTCCCTGAACAGCCTCTTTCATTCTATTCTTTAAATTTAACCTTGAACTTCTGTGCTGAGATTTCACTCAGTGTTCTCTTCTAAGACTGGTAGCAAATACAGATGAGCTTGTTCCCATCATCAAAGATGATTAATTAATTCAAATATTTGAGTGCCTCTTTCATTCAGGAAGTGTGTTAGGTGCTGAGTGCCATTTCCTTTTGTCAGCTGCAAGAATGTTTTAAGCCTGCGTCTCACACTTCTGTTCTCTGGGCTCAGCAGCTTAATCATTCTAGTCCTCACCTAAGGTGACAAGAGTTTACACTTTCTTTTCAAGTCATTTGACCAACAGGTTATTTGGTGACTCATTGTATGTCCTGAATCTTCTCAGTATGTTAAGAAATGTGAAATTGACTTAAGGTAGAAACCATAATCTTGTTAAGCTGCCGTCTTGTTGAGCATGTTCGTGTTGCATGAAACCAATGAGAAACAAACGCATGCATTGGTGCACAACAAAACGCTAAAGAGTTAAGAATGAACTTCGGGATGAACTGTATGCACCAAAGAAAAGGAGATATAACCTTTCCAGGAAGAAGAGCTAACCCTAATCTTATTAAGATAGAAACCTAATAAGAAAACAAGCTGCTGCCCTCCTATTTGCAGTCAAACAAATGGAGTTGGGCTTTTTAAAATCCCAACAGTACTGACAGGAGGCAATCCTGCATTTTTAAGGATGCTTTTGCACACTCGTGTAGTTTATTTTATGTCTTATAATCACAGGTCTAGAAAGAATTACATGTTTGGTGTCACGCCCCTTCAACCTCTTGAAGGGCTGTCAAAGGCTGTCTGCCAACTGTGCCATTAGGTCCCGGAGAGCCTGAACTCTGTTTCTTCTATGCTCATTCAAGCCCCTATAAAGGTTATTCTTATGTCTGTAACTCATTCCAACTTTTTTAACCTCTGCCCAGCCTAACTCTAGCCTTTGTGTCCAGATCAAGTTAGAGGTCTAGTTTACACTGACAAGTTCCAAAGAGTAAATGGCCATCACCAACTAAATAAATGAAAATGTCCAGAAGGAAGGGTTATTTAAAAGGCGTTCTTGGCATATGGACTTATGATACTTCCGGTGAGTCATTTGAAGAATATTCTGTCACTCAGTGTTTCTCCAATACTATGTCTCCTCAACAAATTTTGTTCAATGAGCTAAAATGTAGAGCTGTCTTATTTCAGAAGAAAAAGCATGAGCTAGGGAAAAGTATATTTTTGGAATGAAATCCCATGTTCATGTACAACCAGCAAATGGACTAATATATGGAAACTTGACAATGATATTTGACTTCTGGACATCTCAATTTTTCCACTCAAGAAATAGAAGTACTTTCTATAACATGAGAAATTTGTGAAGATTCAAAAAGAAAAGCAATAATTCTTGGGCCACCAGGCACCCAGGCAACACTGAAAGCATCATAATTCCCTTTCTGTGTCCTGAAGTCTGGCTGTGACTGGCATTACATCAATACATAGGGAGATGTGTTGGGTTAGCTCATGCCTGTGCTCTTGCAGCTGCTAGCACCTGTAGCACCTCACTGCCACATTTCCAAGTTTCAGTATCCCATGTTATTTCCCATGATCGCTCTGCTTTGTCCCCAGCTGAACGCTTCAACTCTATTGCACTATGCCTACCTTGATGCACGTGTCTGACCTGCACATCTAACAGTGGGTTCTTGGGAGGCAGAGACTCGGTCTTCTAATTATGCTAGGCCCTTAGTACCCAACCATGTGGTCACAGGGTCTTTCGCTCTGCTGTTACATTATAAGCAGAGGGGCAGAACTGGTTCTCTACCTGGAGACGCTGTCCTCATGGAGAGGCTTTCCCTCGATACTGGGTGTGGGGATAAGTGCTGCTTTTACCCTGTCTACCTCCTTTTTGCTGTATCCCAACTCTGACACTACTTATGTTTCATTTTTGGCAGTCGTTTAGTGAGACTTAAAAGTCCAGTTGAGCTTTTCAGAAGGCTGGAAGCATTGGTGCCCAGCAGGGCTGCTTCTCTTTCCTGAACCAAACAAAATATTGTTACAGAAAACATGAAATCTTTCCTATTTTTCACAAATGCTCTCCAGACCTAATAAAGCTAGCAGTCATCCTCCTTGAATCAAAATAAGCATCTTCCCCCTTTCTCTGTGTCTCACACTTTCCCAGCATTTTAAAACCACAAGAAAGAATATGAGAGCTTCATCAATAAATCATATGGCTTTTTAAAGGTTTTTTGGGTACCAAATCCTGGACAGCCTGCAAAAATTTTTAAAATCTTAACCTTGGGGGCCTGGCACGATGGCGCAGTGGTTAAGGTCCTCGCCTTGCACGCCCAGGATCCCATATGGGCGCCGGTTCTAATCCCGGCAGCCCCGCTTCCTATCCAGCTCCCTGCCTGTGGCCTGGAAAAGCAGTCAAGGATGGCCCAAAGCTTTGGGACCCTGCACCCGCATGGGAGACCCAGAAGAAGCTCCTGGCTTCGGATTGGCACAGCACTGGCAGTTGCGGTCACTTGGGGAGTGAATCATTGGACGGAAGATCTTCCTCTCTGTCTCTCCTCTCTGTATATCCGCCTTTCCAATGAAAATAAAATAAATCTTTAAAAAAAAATCTTAACCTTATTTTGTAATGCTAATTAATTACAGAGGTGCAATCATTTACAAAACTGGCTAATATGTACTAATATTTTCTATAACTGTTTAGAGTATAAGCGATGAACATCTGAATAATTTATAAAATAACAGGTAACTTATAAAGAGCAACTGAGTCATATGTAAATAGGAAGAGGAAAAGTTCTGCTGGTGATCTGCCTAAGAAAATGCACAAAATATTTCAGGATTTCTTTAGGAAAATCAAATTAGAAGGTAAATTGTTTTGTTGCAAAAAAAGCAAATTAAATTCCATGCATTAAGAAGATCTTGAACAAATTCAAGGGAAGTACAATGCATGAAAACACTGTACATGGGTTTCCAAAAATTGTTGCTCTGAAATATACTTTCCTTTTGATCCCATTTCTGCAAAGTTTTTAAGTCTCCTTGCATACATTTGCAGAAGCATATGTAATTATAATTGCAGGCAGTCTGCAGGCATGCTCAACTCCTGTCATAGTCCATGATGCCTAATGTGAGACTCCTTGCAGAGCTGGAAGCACATAAGGGGAAGGTAAACAAGAGGAGAGAGAAGATCAGATTTGGAACACACCCACTGAGGGAGGACACTGGTCTAGATTTTTAGCCAGAATACTACCTGTACTCTTTACAATTCTCTTCTTCAGCTCCAGTGCAGGTTCTGGTAGATCTATGGCTGCTCGGTTGTCTCGGGATACTGTGTACAAACTTTGAAATGTATCACTAAGGAAAACTCTTTTGTTCTTTTCCAGCTCCTCACAGCCAGTGAGCTTGCAGCCAGCGACCTAAAAGGATTTCAGCCACAGGTAAGTTCCTCTGGTGCAACAGTTTGGTTGGGAACAAACTTGGTACTTTCTAGCTTTTCTTATTCAATGTGTCAACTAAGAGAATGGCTTGAGTTTGCTTGCTCCCTCCATGTCGGCTCTCAGCCCATGTGGGACAAAACAATCTCTCTCTCTCTCTCTCTCTCTCTCTCTGTAATGTAAAAAAATAATCTAGAATAAGATGCCTGCTTTGTTGGCCCATAGATGACACAGTCTGGGAAAGTGCCGACCAGCAGGAGGTGGTGGGTGGGATGGGGTTGAAATTCCTTCCTTTATTTCTCTCTTTGGACAGGTTTCTCACATTTCTATAATCTTTGTGTGCCAGTGCTTTGTAGCCCTGATCTGGCTGCCAGGTCAGTCTGAGACTCCTGCAGAGGCAGACAGTGGAGTTTGGCTGATCTTCGCTAATGACTGAACCCCTTTGGTCTCTGGGCAGAATGCCGTGTGGAGGTCCTCATGGACAAATCCAAAGAGAATTCAGGCAGAGGTGAATATGAAAATGAGTCTCTCATTCTCTGTAAGGGGAGTCACCGTCCACACATAAGTGCCAAACCTACTCATATAGACTCTTGGCAGACATACATGTCCTGATCTTTTCCCATAGACCCAATGTTGACAAATCATGTATTCAAAGGTGATTGCTCATGGGAGGAAGGTATGGGGAGGGGCTGGGGGATCCCCAGAGCCTATGAAACTATGTCACATAATGCAATGTAATTAATAATATATATATATGTACATATATATTTTTAAGAGGTGATTGCTGTAGCCCCACATCCCTGCCACGCCTCCCCTTTTCCTGTGATGACCCTTGCTGTCTCCCCCAGCTCAGTGTCTGCTTTGAGACCCCATGTGCTCTGCCGTGGTGTGAAACACATCACAGTGAACTGCAGAAAGCCTCCAGGGTTTGAGCTGGCTATTTGTGAACAGCAGGAAGCCTGTATGTTTGGGATCGCATGTGTTTGTGACTCAGTCACATCCAGGAGCTCTCTGTGCCATCACCGTGGGTACCCCAGCCAGCTCAGATCCTGCAAGTGCTCTGTACTGCAGGAAAATCTGAGGCCCCTAGTTCTGAGACTGGATGGTTCCAGTGCATACCAAGAGCTGGGAGCAGTGTCAGAGTCTGGAGAAAGAGAACTGACAAACTCAAGGGCTGAGAGGAAAGATAAGTGCTCATTCCAGTTGGGGGTGTTTTGATCACAGCTTATTGATCCTTCTGTCTGGGACGCAGAGAGGTTTTACAAACAGCCGGGAAACCTTTGTCAGCTGCTTAAACCTGCTCATTTACTAAAGCAATTATTCCTGTGTTCACACAAATTTCCAACAGAGCAGAGGAATGCAAATCGAGAAGGAAAATCAACATGTCTCCACTCACCTCCAAACCTAAACTCTTACACAAGACCAGTCTTGCTGAAGCTTCCTTCCTATCTGAAAATCCCTAAAAGTAACAGGGAAAGACTCTGCGTGGCAATGATTTTCTGTTAATAATAGGCGCTTAAGGAGACAGTTTACAGTGGCTGTGTGTGTGTGTGTGTGTGTGTGTGTGTGTGTGAGAATATGGGGTGGGGGTATGAGTATGCCTATGTATGGTTTGGACACTGCTTGTTTCTAAGGTGATCATATTCTCTTACGTCTGTTTAGATAACACTCAAAATTACTCATTCATTCATTTTACTTGAAATGCCAAAAGGCAGTGAAACACAGAGGGGCCTTTCATCTGCTGGTTCACTCCTCAAAATGTGAGCAACAGCCAGGGTGGGCCAGGACAAAGCCAGCAGCATGGAACTCCACCCAGGCCTCCAGAAGGGACAGCAACCTAACAGCTGTACAGGATACTCAGTAGCAGGAGTTGGTTGAGAAACAAAGAAGTTTGAATTAGGCACTGTGACAGGTAATGCCAGTATCCCAAACGCCTGTGACACACACCTGCCCCACAGTTCATGTTTGGATATTAGGTTTAAAATGCAATAATAAAGGAAAAGTTCTGACTATTTAAGGTACACAATAACATTTGGGGCACAATTCTAGAGCATCACCTTCCACATGCCCTATGGACAAACCCACAACTTCCAAGGCAGCAAGTTCTACCCCCTGCCTCTGTCCCACCCTTCCACATTATCCCATTTGTGTGTCATCTGCCCTGAGGCTTAAAGAATACATGTGTATGTTTTCAGTCCTTAGGAGGCCTGTTGCAGAGACCAGCAAGTCCTGTGAGTCTTGTGGCCAGGGTGTAATGCCCGGATCAAAGTTAGTTCCCCAGCGCCGTTCCTAAATCAAAAAGGCCGGGATGTGAATCAAGGCAACGGTGCTTTTCCAACCCAAAACAGAAAGCTGCACCCCTCTGCCCCAGCTCCACAGCAGGACCAAATTGTTGGCTTCTGTTGTTGTTATTTTGCTTCTCTCTCTCTCTCTCTCTGGATGGAGGTGAAAGTGAGCCTGTAATAACTGAAGTGGCTTCCCTCCCAGAGGCTGTCACTGACCCATCAAGAGAGGACTCACGGAGGACCCTTTGCTGGCCTAATTGTAATGGCTTCTCAGCTTTGGCACAGTTCATGCTTTTCTAATGTAGGGGTTTGGTAATTGTGTCTTTCCCTCCATATTTGCGCCTTCTACAAGCTTGTAATGAAAACAGTGTTGATTTCTGCATTGATATGTGGTGACTTTGAAAGTGTAAGGGACAGTGACAGACTGGGCTGGGTTGGGTTGGGCTGTCTCCATCCTTAGTCCCAGGGAAAGTGCAGAGGAGAGGAAGCAAGCAACTGTCTGTCTCATCATAGTTACCATTTCCATCGTTGCCAGGCTCCTTCCTGGAAACACACACCTGATTGCAGGTGAACCTCAGCCGTGTTTTCTAAGGGGTTAGCGGTCGGTGTTTGGTCCTGAGGCTGGATAGCTTGGTCTCTGGAAAACTGACAGAACTGACTCCTTGAGATCCATCTGAGCAGGTTGGAGGGGAATGTTCTCGGCATGGTTACAGGCACAGATAGAAAGCTTCTGGCATCCATGGCTAAACCGGCATGACTTTGCTCTCCTCTTTAATAATGTGCCCACCTCACCTCACACCTGCCTGACTCCAAGCTCATACCATCCTACGCTTCTTTTTGAAAGCAACAAACACACTTGAATGCTCTCCTCAGGAGTTTTTTGGCAGATTGGCAATAAGAACCCCTAACTGTCTTTGTCAGACCATCCATAGTCCAATCCCAAGTGGGATGGAACTGGCATCTGACTCCCTTTGGTGAAAAGCCATCACCACATGCTTTTATCTTCTTTTTTTTTCCCTATTCTCTTCTCTGTCTCTAATATAAATGCTTTGAGTATTGTAGCTCTTGCAAAAGAAAAGGAAAGAAAACAATCTCCTGTTATTCTACCCCAAAAACGTAATGGTAATTTGATGTGTAGTCATCTGGTGTGATCTATGTAAATATACTCCTTTTTATTCTTCAGTTTTATTTGCATGTTTACAAGTCACTTCCGGCTGCTGGTTATTCTTATACTAGTTGCATCTTTTATTTACCACTCCCCCTTCGGCTGCACATTCCATTCGTTCTGCAGACTAAGATTGTAGGAGCATTGCAAAGCAAACACTAACATCCAGTACCCTCATCGAGGCTATGAATAGCAGTCAAGGCTTCTTGGCACAAGCCTTTAATTCTTAGTTCTTGCAGAGATGTGAAGTTTGCCTAAACTCTGTAGGCATGTCCTTGCCTATGTAGCTGGCAGGTGTAGTACAGGATCATATACAACCACAATGTCCAGTTCAGATGCAAGTTTTCATGTCCAACTACCCAGTGTCAGAAAAGTAATCTTATAAAGGACTTCCCGTAATGGGGAGGTAAGGGCACAGACTTAATTCTTACCTGCCCTATTCCCTCTCCTTTGTCTGAGAGAAGAAGATAGGAAAAATGGCATCCTATTTCAAGTGTGGGACAAGTGCAAAAGTTTTAAATGAAAGAGACTCATTCTTAATGAATTCCTAAAATGTTAATGGCTGCTGTGTTCATATGCTATGAGAATAGAATGAACTGGAATACACAGAGAATACTTTTCTTCTGTTGATAAACTTCCAGCAGTGATTTAGTTACTATTTTGTTTCTTGCATGTCCATGGAAAGCTGTTCTGTGGGGCTCCCTGTTCCCCAGGAGTTGACAATTCTGTAATGTTCTACCATTAATAATAGCAACATGACCCTGGGAAAGCTACCTAATATTTCTTGATCCTTGGTTCCATTTTATTTTTTCCAAAGATTTATTTCTTTATTTGAAAGGAAAAATGATGGAGAGAGGGTGGGAGGAAGAGAAACAACAGCAACAACAACAAAAACGAGCGAGGATATGCCTTATATCCTCTGGTTCAATCCACAATCGGTAGCAATATTCAGGACGAAGCAGTGCCAATTCCAGGAGACAGGAACTCTTCCCATGTCTCTAGGTGCTGGAAGTTACACAGTGAATTCACTTTTTTCTTCCATTAAATAACTTTAATTTCGTTAGTTAAAACTTTCATATGTGACATATCTGTATTGGGTAAGCAATGTAGTCTTCCAGGCAGAGACATCATATACCTGGGTCAGGCTGGTTGAGAAGCAAGCAGTGGATGCTCTCAGCAGCAAAGCCGGTGTGAAGTCCGGGCAATGTTCAGGCCATGTTCATGAGACTGGAAGCATTTTGGTTGCTCTGTCTCAGAGAAGGCATGGTGGGGAATTACTGTGAGAATGAGAGAAGTCAAATTTTCAAATCTTGAAGCCTAGAAAAATAGTCAGGGGACAGATAAATAGAAAACCCGAAAGATCTCAAAATTACACAATAATAGCAACCAAAGGGCTTAGAAATTCATATACCTTTTATTCAATGTCAATGATTTGTTGTCTAAAAACATGAACTGTAGAATTTTCTGATGTTTGTAGTGAAGATGTCCACATTATAAATAACCAACTCTAAGTTACTCCTTTAACCAGCTCTTCGCAAAGATTTGGCCATGCA